CCCCAAAACCCCAAAACCCCGCTGTTTAACATTCCGATTTAATATTGGGATTTTCACTAAAAAGAAATGATACTACTTAAAATTTAATTAAAAATTTATTTGTATATAATTGGAACTAGGAAATGTTTAATCGCTCGATAAAACGTAACAATCTATCCACATCTTATTAATTTAGAAATGCTTGATAAGCAATAAGGACAAAATAGCAGAAGAGCATCTCTAAATGCTGCTTAAACCTCTGTAACTGACGAAAAAGATCACAGAAACTTCAATTTGAGAGATCAGATGGAAAAATATCAGATATAAAAATTCAGAGATAACAAAAGAACTCTGGTATAAAATAATCAAACAATCATAGAGCAGCAACTCCTTAGAAAGGAATTAAAGCCTGAGTATTCATTCACTCCTAGTAATTATTGCAGTTAACATAATTTAGTACCTGAAATTGAAAGTTCCTCTTAAGTAAAAACTAATGAAAAAAGGCTTAAAGGGATCTAAGTTTTCGAGACTCCCATAAAGTAAAATCTTTTGAAGTTTTATTTTTATTAATCCTGAATTATAGATAAATCAATCCTGCTCTAAGAAAGAGCGAAGCTATCCCTAAAAGTGCATAAGTAATGAATACTTAGACGAATCTGAAAACTATAAATGCAATAAGTAAATTAAGAAAGAATTAAAACAAGCTATATTTGGATTCTCAGTCTACATAAAATGGTGAGAGATCTCCAGATCTCGTAAAATTAAGAATAAGCAATTGTAACACTTTTAAAGCAAAGGAAAATGAAAGATATTCTTAGGTAAGCATTAGTAAAAAGTCTAATGAACATAATCCTTATCTGATTCCTAATCAAAGCAGTGTAAGCTTGAGACCATCAACAATGCAATAACATAATAGAAGATCTTCACTTAATTTAAACTAAAATCTAAAGACCACCAAGAATTCTAACTAAATTCACTCATAATCTTCGAGTAAGAGTACAAATAAGATCTCATTTCATAAGAGCTAATAGTCTACACAGGACTCAAAGAGAAGAAATAGTATGATTTAAGTTTATGATGATGCCAAAGTAGAAAATGAGATTAGGGAATAAGATTAATCCCAGAAAAATGGCTAAAAAGTTATTTCAAAGAAATGTTTTGAAAGTTTCCTTAAAGAGTAAAGAGATTTTCTCGAGAGATAAAAAATTGGAAGGGTATAATTATTTTTATTTGTTAATGTATATTTTGTAGGAATTTGTGTAAAAATAACAGATAGAGGATTAAATAAGACCTCAAATAGCTGATAGAAGATCACCACTAAGAAAATCTAAGGATTAAAGTGGCAGTCCGACTAGAGTATAAATTCATTAACGACTGTTTGTTGAGGCTTAAGAAAAGATCATTATTAAAAGGGAATCTGCCAGCAAGTCAGGTTAAAGACCATAAAGTGCCAGAAAATTCAGGTCAATGAAAGATTAGAAATCTCACCTTCTCAAAATTACTAAGCCTTTGCAATAGACTTTGGGAGAGAGATTGGAGAGTGAAAGAAAAAAGACTGAAGAGATGTCCCCACCAAAAATAGATGAAAATACTGATGAGCTTATCTTTAGGAAAATCCAATATTAAGCCAAAGACTATTTTAAGATAGAGTAATTTACAGATCAGGATCACAATTATGACGCGTCTATGTGGCAATTTAGAGACTTTATGATGCATATGAACTTCTTGCGATAGGACTTTCAAGTAATTCAAGAATAGGCAGTAATTTAGGAAATTTGGAATTAAAGATTTAAGTGCAATAGTAATACTGATTACACTGATATAAGGAACATCTTGATTGTTATTGGAGGTTTATTATAACTTAAAACCAAGAAAATTATAAGAAGTCAGATTCAATTTAATAAGAAAGAAGTCAGCCAAAAAATATTTGACTACAATTCTGAAAAACTCATTCACTTCGAAGATTTTAATGCAGTTAAAAATTTCCACAAGAAATATAAGCTTCTTTATGATAGACACATGATTCAGAGGAATATAAAGAACATCTAATCAAAGAGCTTTGAATTCAAACCTTAACTTAATCAAAGAACAAACAAAATTGCCTTGTAAACTAGCAGACCTTCAAGTAAGAATATTTATCAAAGATTGTCCTCTACTGAAAGAAATAAAGCTAAATCTCCTGACACTTAGAAGAAAAATTCCGATATTGCTGATATTTATGAAGGGGCATTCGAAAAGATAATAAGACAATACAAAAAACCTTCAGAGAAGAAGACTTAAAAAGAAGTATAAGAGAGAAAGTATATTTTGACTTCTCCATAAAAGCATGAAAAACATAAGAAGGAATCCGCAGGAAACAAGCAAGAGAATATAAATGCCGATTCAGAACTCATTATGTACTATCAACCAAATTTATTATCAAACTAAACCATAGACTCGCACTAGAGTAAAGAATCTGAATTTGATATATATTTGAAGTAAACAACAAATAATACTCCACCAAATGCAGAAAGTAAGAAAAAAAAACTTAATTGCTTGCCAAACAACCATTAGAATTTCTGTGATACTGATGAAAACTATTATTCCCCAATTAAGCACACTCTGGGGAATTTAAATAGAAATACTTCATACGACTCTATCATAATGAATTTAGATAATAATCAAAGTATGCATCCCTAATTTCTTTAAATTAACTATAGATTAATTAAAAGAAGATCCGATCATGTATATTGATGTTAACCTTGGGGAAAAAGGTAAGAGGCAAATAAAATTATATGCATATGATCAAGTATTAGATGCAATAGAAGAATTCAATTAACTTGAAAGTAAGATTAATATTTCAAAGAAATTTTAGGGTTGAGTCCTTAAAAGATTTCAAGTTTAACCAAATTTATTGTTGACAAAGTAAATTTTCACAGGTAGATGTATCCTTAATCTAAAAGACGTCTCTGATTTTAAACTTTAGCTTATTTATCAATTTATAAATTAATTTCATTATAAGCGTTATGGATTTAACTCTGAGGGGTTTTGGGGTTTTGGGGAGATCGGAAGA